TGGGTATTTCTTTGTTGTCGTTGAAAATTCTGTACACCACAAATAAATAACGAAACGCCAGAGTACCAATTAAGCTTTGTCAGACCCAGTGTGATGGCCACTACCACCAAATATTCAGCTGACTTGTGACTCTAAAGAGCCACTTGCCTTTGCCAGAGCTTAACATTTGATATGTTATACATATATATAAAACATTATACATTGGCTCTGCCAATGTAGATCACAGCAAAACAAAAAGCCTTTATTTATTTATTTATTTATTTATTTATTTAAGAGGATCAGACAAGAACTATTACTGCTCTGGAACTGGCAGGTTAGACAAAAAAGAAGCAGTATTCTGAAGCTGCAGAGTACGTTTTGAAATGCTTGTAATGGGGGTATTATAAAGTAGGGAGAACTCTGACCCTCAATCAGGCTAAGTTCAGCATTATGTTTCTTAGCATTAAATCAGAAGAGCATGGATTACAGAAAGGAAGGAAGCTATTTGCCTGACTTCTCTCTACTTACCCCTAGCTTGCTTCCAGCTATCATTTATAAATAGTGCTCTGGAGGGAAGCTAGGCATTTTATTAGGGAAAAAAATAAAACTTGTTAAGACCACCTTGCCTGAAAACCTGGCTTTTGACGTGCTGGTGACAGGGACTGGAGCAAGCAGTGTCAAATGGAATAATTTTTAAGGAAAGACAACAGGAACTTGTCGCCTCATTGTATGCATTTACAAATAGAGGCTTTTCAGAGTATTAGGCCTAGTTAAAGCTGCCCTCTGGATAAAAAGTGTTCCCAAGCAGCCTCAGACAAGCTTGGGAGACAAACAGATGTGACTATGGTCCCTGGCGTTTGGCAAGAACACTCACTGTCAATAAGAAAAATATGAGCATGGACAGGGCATCAGCTGCACCATGGCCGAGCAGGCCTGCAAGTGTCATAGCAGCGGCAAAGTTGTGGCAGAGGGAAATAAGAGGGCTGCAAAAGCCAGGCTGGTGTGAACTTACACTAGCATGCCAAGAATTTTTGTTGTTGTTGTTGATGTTGTTGTTGTGTCATGCCTCAATGTATTAAATAAAACACTGGAAAAGCCGCTGTCAATTTTTATTCATTTTTCCTCTTGCACACAGTGTTTAGAGTCTCCTTTCTACGTGGTAAATAAGAGCCTCAAAAATGAAGACAGACTGGGAAGGCAGCAATAACAAAAAAACTATTGAAATAATAAATAAACCCCACAAAACCAGATTTGAGACAGCAAACACTTTTCTAGAAGCAATGACATGCAAAGCAATTCACAAGCATTTTCACTAAACACTTTTGTGAAACCTTCACTCTGACAGAAATTTTATTTCCTTCTTAAATAGTTGCAATTTATCAATTTTTTTTTTCAAGGTAATTGCCCTTACTATGGTAACATGCCTAGAATTGTCTCTTTAAGGTCCCCAAACATTTATATCTGTGTCTTCACAACACAATCTCTTTTTCCATAATTTTCATAGATCATGAAGCAATTATTTTTGATGAGTGCCTTTTCAGCAGTTATACACATTCACCTCTCCAAGACATTTGTAAGTGGCCACGTCAGATTTTTATCTACTCTGACCTTTGCAGTCCATGGACCATTTGGTTAAATTCTCCAAATAAACATCTTATTCTGTGGGGCAACCTGCAGCTGTGCTGATGCAATCCACCTTCTGAGCTGAGGACCCAAAGCAGTTCTTCACCCTTTCACCAGTAGTTATCATCTTTGCCAGTTCAAAGTTCACCAGTCCAGTCACTAAGAACAATACAACAAAATAGCTGTAGGACCTGAAAGTCCTGAACATGCGTTCTAGCTCTCTGGTTTATTACATGCTTCTGCAATCACTATCATCCCAGGTGTAAAAAACAAAACTCCAACCTACCACCAAAACAAAAAACCCCAATCCCTCTTCGCCAAGATTAAAAGACCCTATTGAAATGCAGTAACTGTTCCACAGTCTCTTCAGAAAGGTGCACTGAAGACAGCTTTATACAGTGAGCAGCTTCATAGGCACTAACACAGTGGCCTGTCATCTCCTGAGGTGAACTCTAGGTGCTTGTGTATTAAATACAAAACGTTTGCATGTTTATTTTATATGTTTCATTGTAACAACAAGTCTGTTGATCACTTTATTTTCTCTGTCTGCTGTTACCAGATGTCACTTGTTCCACAAACTGCGTTTCTTTATTTGATACCAATGCAGTTGCTATTATCG